ATCTTGAACTCAGAGATGTAGTGGTGTAGGGGAGGGATGTGTAGCTGGACATGTTTATCTGCAGGAGAAAGCACCTTGATGAGATTGCACACATTTGGCTGACCTTTTCCCCTCGTGGCTTGTGTGCGTGTGTGCACATGTATGTGTGCATACATGCATATTTGCAAGTGCATACCTTTTCCCAGGAAAAGGTAATTGCCACATAACTTAAGACATGCATAGAATTTCTACAAACATTCATATACAGGTTTTTGTAGGAGCATAAGTTTTGATTTCTCTAGAGTAGATACCTAGAAGCAGGATTGCTAGGTCATATGTTAAGTATATGTTTAACTTTTTAAGAAACTTCCTAACTTGTTTTTGCAGTATTACCTTCCCATTAGCAATGAACAGGTGTTCCCCTTGCTCCACATCCTGGCCAACACTTGGTATTGTCAGTTTAAAAAGTTTTAGTCATGGGTCGCCTGGGCGGCTCAGTTGGTTAAGCATCTGACTTCAGCTCAGGTCATGATCTTGCGGTTTGTGAGTTCAAGCCCCCTGTTGGGCTCTGTGCTGACAGCTCAGAGCCTGGAGCCTGCTTCGGATTCTGTGTTTACCTCTCTCTCTCTGCCCCTCCCTGCTCACGCTCTTTCTCTCCCTCTCTCTCTCTCTCTCTCTCTCTCTCTCTCTCTCTTTCTCATAAATAAACATTAAAAATTTTTAAAAAAATTTTTAGTCATTCTTTTAGGTAGATAGTGGTATCTTATTGTGATTTTCATTGCATTTCCCTACAGTTCATGATGTTAAACATTTTTTTATATGCTTATTTTCTTTGGTGTAATGTGTGTTCAGATATTTTACCTATTATTAATTGGATTGTTTTCCTACAGTTGAGTTTTGAGAGTTCATAATTTATTTTGAATACAAGTCCTTTGTCAGATATGTGATGTGCTAATATTTTCTCCCACTTGTAGCTTGTCTCTTCATTCCCTCATATTGTTCATGGATATTGTTAAAGTCTCTTTCAAAGAGAAAGTGATATTAATTTTGATGGAGTCTAATATATCAATTTTTTCTTTATGGATTCTGTTTTGGTGTTATGTCTAGGAATTCTTTGTCTAACTCCAGGTCATGGAGATTTTCTATTATGTTTTTTTAAAAAGTTAATAGTTGGGGCGCCTGGGTGGCGCAGTCGGTTAAGTGTCCGACTTCAGCCAGGTCACGATCTCGCGGTCCGTGAGTTCGAGCCCCACGTCGGGCTCTGGGCTGATGGCTCAGAGCCTGGACCCTGTTTCTGATTCTGTGTCTCCCTCTCTCTCTGCCCCTCCCCCGTTCATGCTCTGTCTCTCTCTGTCCCAAAAAAATAAATAAACGTTAAAAAAAAAATTTTTTTTTAAGTTAATAGTTAGGAGCACCTGGGTGGCTCACTCGGTTGAGCATCTGATTTTAGCTCATGTCTTGATCTCACGGTTCATGGGTTTGAGCCCCACATGGGGCTCAGTGCTGACAGCTCAGAGCCTGGAGCCTGCTTCAGATTCTGTGTGTGTGTGTGTGTGTGTCTCTCTCTGCCCTTACCTGCTCATGCTCTGTCTCTCTCTTTCTCTCAGAAACTAAATAAACATTAAAAAAAATTTTTTTAAGTTAATAGTTTTATGCTTCATGTTTAGATCTGCGATCAATTTGAGAAAAAATTTTTGGTGAGATGTAATGTGTAGGTCAAGGTTCATTTTTTTGCCTATGTATGCCCAATGATGTTTTAACATCATTTGTTGAAATACTACTCTTTCTCCATTGGATTGCCTTTGCACCTTTGTCAAAAAATCAGTGACCATATTTTTGTGGTCTATTTCTGTACCTTCTAATCTCTTCCATTGATCTGTGTCTAATGGCATACCTGCTTTGATTCCGGAAGCTTCTTTATAATAATTCTTCAAATTGGGGAGTATGATTCCTCCAACTTTCTAATTCTTTTCAAAAATTGTTTTAGCTAGTATAATTCTTCTGGCCTTCCATATAAATTTTAGAATTAACTTATCTGTATCTGCAAAATATATACATATACTGGAATTTAGATGATTTTTGCATTGAATCCAGAGATAAATTTGGAGAGTTGACATCTTTACTGTGAGTCCTTACTTTGTCTTCCAATTCATGAACATGATGGTGTATCTCTCCATTTTTTTAGGTCTTCTTTGATTTCTTTCATCAGTGTTTTGTACTTTATAGCATACAGATTCTATACTTGTTTTATTAGATCAAGTCCTAAGTGTTTCACTTTTTACAGTTACTATAACTGGTATTCTTTTTAAACTGTGGTTTTCAGTTTTCATAGCTAGTACACATACATACAATTGCATTGACTTTCTATTTGCGATCTTATTTCTTATTTATTAGTTCTAGGAGTCTGAGGAAAAGAGTGGTTCTATTTCTTGTGTACTTTGTGTGACTTTTTTTTTTCTTGCCTTATTGCACACTTAGGACTTCCAATACAATGTTGAAAAGGACTGGTATGGGTAAACATCCTTGCCTTGTTCCTGATCTTAAGGAAAGTGCATTCAGTCTTTCACCATTAAGTGTGATATTACTTATGGGTTTTTGTACATGTCCTCTCCAGGTTGAGTATACTCTCTTTTGTTCCTAGTTTGCTGAGCAATTTTAACATGAATGGACGTTGAACTTTATCAGATGCTTTTTTTCTGTGTTAGCTGATATGATTATCTGGGTTTTGTTCTTTTTTTTTTTTAATTTTTTTTCTGGAATGTTTATTTATTTTTGAGAGAGAGAGCATGAGTGGGGGAGGGGCAGAGAGAGAGGGAGACACAGAATCCGAAGCAGGCTCCAGGCTCTGAGCTGACAGCACAGAGCCCGACGCAGGGCTCGAACTCACGAGCCATGAGATCATGACCTGAGCCGAAGTCGGAGGCTCAACGGACTGAGCCACTCAGGTGCCCCTGGGTTTTGTTCTTTAGGTTGTCAATATGGTGGATTACACTGACTGATTTTCAAATATTGAACCACCTTTGCATTTCCAGGACAAACCCACACTTGATTGTGGTGTATGGTTCTTTTTCTATACTGCTGGATTCAATTAATTGATATTTTGTTGAGGATTTTTGTATCTATGTTCATGAGCTGTATTGGCCTACAGTTTTCTTATATTATCTTTGACTGGTTTTGATATCAGGGTTATTCTGACTTTATCAAACTGAGCTGGGAAGTGTGGGAGGTTTTTTTTGCTTGTTTTGTTTTGTTGTTTTGTTTTCTTCTTCTGTTTTCTGCAAGAGATTATGTAGAATTGATGTTATTTATTCTTTATACATTTGGTAGAAACCACCAGTGAAACCATCTGGGCCTAGAGAATTTCTTTCTTAGAAGTTTTCTAATTACGAATTCAGTTTTATTAAAGTTACAGTACTATTCAGGTTATCGGTTTCATCTTGGCAGTTTTGCATGTTTGTGGTTTTCATGCACTTGTTGTCTTTTATCGAAGTTGTTGAATTTTTGTGTGTAGAATAGCTGATAGTATTCCCTTACTATCCTCTTAATGTCTGCAGAGTGTGTAATGATAATTTCATTCCTGATATTGGTAATTTGCTTCTTTTGTCTTTATTTATTTGTTTGTTTGTTTGTTTATTTTTGTCTTTCTGAGTAGAGATTTATCACTTTTATTGATCTTTTCCAAGAACCAACTTTTGGTTTCTTTGATTTTTCTCTCTTGTTGTTTTTTCTGTTTATAGTTTAATAGATTTCTGCCCGTATTTTTATTACTTCCTTCCTCTGCTTGCTTTGTATTTATTTTTCTCTTCTTTTTCTAATCTCTAAAGATAGAAACTTAGCTTGTTGATTTGAGACCTTTCTTTACTCATATAAACACTTTATGACATAAATTTCCCTTAGGCACTGCTTTAGCTGTATTCCACACATCTTGATATATTATGCTTTCATTTTTGTTCACTTCAATATTTTTTAATTTCCTTTGAGACTTTCTCTTTGACCCATGGGCTGTTTAGAAGGTGTTGATTGATTTCCAATTGTTTGGAGATTCTCCTCTTTTATTATTGATATCTAGTTAATTCTGTTATTGTCAGAGACCAAATTTTTTGTGGTTTCAATTTTTTTTTTTTAATTTGAGGTTTTTATGACCCAGGATATGTTGTGTCTTGGTGAATGTTCACATGCACTTCAAAAGAGTTTCTGTTCTGCTGTCATTAGACAGAGTTGTATAAGCGTTCCTTTACCTGTCTCTCTTGTGTTGTACTTGTCTTGTATATAACATCTGCAAAGATTGTAAATCTCACCAGACAGTGTTATATTTACTTCCAACTGTCAAACATATTTTAAAGAACTCAGTAAGAGAAGTATTATATTTATAGAGACATTTGCCATTTCTCTTGTTCTTCCTTCATTTCTAATATTCCAGATTTTCTTCTGGTGTCTTTTTTTATGTGTTTGAAGAACTTTCTTTTCCAATTTTAGAGCACATCTGCTAACAAGAAATTATCTTAATTTACCTTCATTTGAGTGTGTCATTATATTATTTGAAGGATATTTTCACGTAGACTCCTGGGTATATCTTTTCTTTTAGCACTTTAAAAATACTGTTACTTCCTCTGGCCTCTAGTTTCTGATGAGAAATCCACAGTCATTCAAATCATTGTCCCCTTATAAGTGATTTTTCTGGATGCTTTCAGGAGTTTTTCGTCTATAGTTTTCAGCAGTTTGAGTCTGATTTGTTTTGGAATTGATTTCTTTCAGTTGATTTTGCTTAAACTTGCCCATCTTTTTGAATCTGTAGGTTTATATCTTTTGGCAGATTTGTGGGGTTGTCAGCCATCATGTCTTCAAATATTTAAAAAAAAATTTTTTTTAATGTTTATTTATTTTTGACAGGGAGAGAGACAGAGCAAGAGAGGGGCAGAGAGAGATTGGGAGTCACAGAATTGGAAGCAGGCTCCAGGCTCTGAGCTGTCAGCACAGAGCCCAATGCGGGGCTCAAACTCACAAACTGTGAGATCGCGACCTGAACCAAAGTCGGTCACTTAACTGACTGAGCCACCCAGTCGCCCCTCAAGTATTTTTTCCTGCACTGCAGTCTCTCCTCTCTTTGGGACTTTAAATGACACAATGTTAACTTAGTGTTATTACACAGGAACCTGAAGCTTTGAGCATTTTTTTTTTTTAATTTTTTTTTCCTCTTTGTTGTTCAGCTTGGATTCTATCACTATATCTTCAAGTTTACTGAATCTTTCCTTTGTCACTTTTAATCTGTTATTGAGCCTATCCAGTGAGGGTTTTTGTTTGTTTTTTTGCTTCTGCTTTGTATCTTCTATTTCTTTGCTGAAACTTTCTACCATTTTATTTCAATAGTGTTCACCCTTACTTCCTTGAGCATTTTACAACTACTTTAAAGTCTTTCTCAGATAATTTTAACGTCTCTGTCATCTCTGCATTGTCATGCATTGACTGTCTTTTTCATGTGACTGACATCGTCTTGATTCTTCACGTGACAAATAATTTAGGATTATATTCAGGACACTTTAAATTTTAATGAGATTTGTGTCTTGTTTAAATCTATGAATAATTTCTTTTTTTTTAAGCATGCAACCAGTGCAGTTAGGTTTAGGCTAGAAATTCTGACCAGTCGTTTGTAGATTACGGTTTCAATGTCTGCCCTGTTTTAAAAGTCTTTGCACTGCTGTTTGGATTTGTCCATCCTCTGTACCACCCTATGGGAAGCCTAGTGGTCTTTTGTGCAGTTCTCAAACTCTTTGGTATGCTGTTTATGGTCAGATCCCCACATACATGGCTTGGGTTGGGAGTAAACTCAGAAGTTTATAAACAGTGTTATTGGGTGCTGGGCCCTTCCCTCTCTGAAGTCTTCCTTTACTATCTGGTTACCTGGGTCTCCTTTTTTTTGGTCCTCTGACCAGAAAGCTGGGGCTTTAGTTGCCCCCTTCTGTTATACACTGCCCACATCTGTGCCCTTGTTCAGGGTCAAACAGCAGAAGTATTGACATAGGAAAAAAAAAAAAAAAAAAAGCAGTAGGTGTTTACCCCAGCCTTTTGGACCAAGGCTTCAAAGGAAGCTTACCTCCCTCAGTTTTAGGTGCTTTCCACCACCCCCTCCTCCCCCCTGCTGTCTCCACTGCCTGTCACCACAGCCACTGTAGATTGCCTCGGGCTAGGGAGTGAGCAAACAGAGAAAAGAAAAGAAGAGGAAATGGGGAATTTGTCATCTGCCCCCCTCCCCGCATGGATCTTTAGTACCTTATCATTGCTTTGAGTCCAGCCTGGAAATAATTGCGTGATAAATGGAGATTTCACTGGTTCCATAGTATTTTGAGTTCTAGTCTTTATCTACAACTTTTTCTGCTATTTCTTTTTCAGAGTCTTCAAATAGTCATTCCATGCATCTGTCAATATCTCAGATTTGCCTTCATTGGGAGAGAGGGGGTGATGGGAGCTTATTCCACCTGACTTGCAACCAGAAATCCTCTGGGCCTGTGTTCTTTTCATTAACATGTGGGGCCCCTGTGTGGACCAAGAGTTTTCCTCAAAGGACTTTATGGTATTCTTAACTTTTGCTTGTAGTTTGCATTGTAATGACACTAATAAGAACTTACTGAAATTGATTATAGTGGTAGTTTAGAAGGTTAACAATTTATTAATTCTTTTTTATTCACCAAAACTGGATAAAATTCCAAAATGTTTTCATATTATGACTGAAATGTTTATCTTATATGGAAGTAATAATACTGAAGAAGAAACAAACAGAGGTAGTAAGAAAATGTTGAAGTCTTCAAAAATTACATGCTTCCTTCCAAACAACTTATTCATGTGCCAGTAAACTTATTGCATTGTTTGAAGGCTGTGGGGAGCCAAGTCCTGTGGTTTTTCACTTTCTCTCAGCAGGTGAGGTCAACTATGTCACTTCTGCTTTATTTACTGTGACCTTTGTGTGGTGCAACAAGTGTAGGGGCACAGTACCAGGGAAGCAATGCCCTTGACCCTGTGAGACCAGATCTCTCCAGAGAGGCCACAGGCAGGGATGTCCCACCTACTTTCTCCTCAGGCTGGCTCTGGAAGCTCCAGAGAACAACCCGAGTGTAATGGAGGCCCCACTGCCACGTTCCGGCCGAGGTGAGTGCATGGATGCACCAGTTCTTTAATAGTTGTCACCCTCCTCCCTTCCATCTTCCCCTCTTCTCTTTTGGTTAGTGGCGCTGCCATCCACGCAGTGACCGAGGTCACAAAGCTCCACGTGAGTCTGAACTCTTGCTGACCTCCCACTCACTCCATCAGTCAGTCATCTGACGCTTCCTGAGCTTCTTGAGGGCTTTCTGAGCCCTCTCTTCTCCCTTCTGAGGGTGTTTCCTGATTAGAAACCCTGTCATTTCAGTTGGCTTTTGAGGAAGCCTCCTCCTGGGTGCCCCTGCCTTTGGCCTTGCTCCCCTCAAAATCTGTTTTCTTCACCATAACGGAACCGTCCTCCTAAATCGCAAACCTGATTATCCAACCTGTCTGAAAAGTGACTAGAATTGGCTGCTGATCACCTTAGCACAGTATACAAGGCCCTTTCCTGCCTGCCTGTGCCCAGGTCATAACACGGCACCGCACAGAACCAGATTTCTTCTCAGCTCAGATTCCTCCCCCATCCAGGTCTTTTGGGCCTCTGCATCTTCTTACATCTTGTTCCTTGGGCCCAACTTGTCCCTGTTTCCCCACCCCCACCCCCTTTGCTGCCTGGCAAGCCTGTACTCATCTCTGAAAAGTTGCTTCAGGAGTATCATCCTCAGTGGTCCATCTGATCCCTCAGCGTGAGTTCATCCCAGCCTCCTCTTTTCCCATGGTACATTCTACATGTTTCTATTACTGTACTTTTCATTCTTGTGTTGGTCTGTGTTCATGTTTCCTTCTCATAGGCCCGGTTCTCAAGGAACTCACAGTCTACTGTGTCTTATTTGTACTTCTGTCCTCGGCGCCTGGCACAGTGTCTGGCATCTAGACGAGGCTCAACCGTGTATAACTAGTTTGTTATTGTTGCCATTCTTGCTCCTTCAGTCTCCTGGGTAAGTTGAGTACCAGACACAGAATGCCTGTGAGTCTTCGAAACCAAGTTTTTTTTGGAAATTATAGATAAAATTTATTCAATTTAACCAAGACTCTTTTTTTGCTTTGTCTGATATTGCTGTAATGATTATAGCTTTTGAGTACTCTATTACTCTTCAGAACAGAAAAGATTATGTTGTTTCATAGTTTTGGGTTTTTTTGTTTTGTTTTTTTTCCCCCCTCACAAGCCAAAGTTTAGATTTTACACTTGGCTTTTTATTTCCCTCCAGTATACCTTCCCTTCTTTTTTTTATATGCATCTCAGTGTTATTTTTTTCAACTATTACTATCTCAGTATTGGTAAGATCTATGCTATGGAAAATAATTTCTGATAAATCTAGGTACAGTATTGCTTTATCTCACTATAGCTGGGTTATTTATTTTTCCTCCCCAGAGTTGCCGAGTCATACCGGGCATATTATTTAAATCTGTAAACACGTAGTCAACAGCCACTTGGTACCAGAAACCCTTAGCACAGGGGATGCAAATTAATGCAGAAAATGTGCCCTGGAGGAACTCACGGTCCCCAAGGACAGATGGGCCTGCTCTGAGGGGCTAGGGTGGGGCTTGCCTGTGGACGTGGAGTTCAGGGGGAATGGTGTGAAGCCTGTTAGGCAGGGCATAAGTTACCTGTGCCAGTCAGTGAATACCATGTAGAAACTTAAAAAGTGTCCATTTCAGAAAAACAGTAAAGAAGCCCAAGAATTTAGTCATCCATGCAGTCTGTCAATTAACAAATACTTGTTGAACACTTACACTTACTATGTAGTACATACTGTTCTAGTTGTTCAAACCAGACAAAGTTCATTCCTTTATGGAGCTTAAGTCCTGTTGGGGGAGACAAATAATAAATGAGTGCGTATGTGGGGAGATAATGAAAGTGCTAGGTAGAATAAAGCAGGGTAAGGGCACTAAGAGTATGGAACTTGCTCTTTTGCAAATGGTGGTGGTTCTACTTCTTCTTTTCCAATTTGGATGCCTTATATTTCTTTCTTATATTTTCCCTAATTGCTCTGGCCAGGACTTCCAATACTGTGTTGATACAGTGGTGTCGTGGGCATCCTTATCCTTGTCTTATTTTGATCTTTGAAGAAGAGCTTTCATCTTTTCACCATTGAGTATGATGTTGGCTATGGGGGGAAATTGCTATTGTATATGGCCAGTTCAGGGGGAACTCTCTAATGATGTGATATTTGAGCACAGACCTGTTGGAATCAGCCGAGCGGGCCAGGTGAAGCAGAGCCCCTGAAGTAGACACGTATTTAGCAAGTTGGAAAAACTGCCAAGAAGGCCAGGTTTCTTATGCTGAATGACTAAAGGGAAGAATGGCAGGAAGTGTACATGGAGAAGTTGCTGAGGACCCAGTTGTGTAAGGCCTTCTAGGTCTTTCATTTTGCGTGGTAGGGGGAACCACCTGAAGGTTTTGTGTAGTTAGTAACATGATTTGATTTATACCTTGAAATGGTCATTCTGGATGGATGCCTGATATTTTGGTTTGGGGGATAGGGACAGGTAAGAGAAGAAGCATGCAAAGAAATTAGAAAGCAAATGGAAAAATCCATGTGAGAGAAAATGATAGCTTGGACTGGGGTGGTGGTAGTGAATGAGGTAAGAAGTGTTCATATTTGGGATATTTTGAAAATAGAGCTGATAAGAGTTTGGAGAGGATTGTGTGTAAGACAGGAAAGAAAGAGGAGACCGGGACCACTTAAAGATTTGTGGCCTGAACAAAATGTTGATGCCATTTTGTTGAGATGGAAACAGCAGGGAAAGAATAAGATTGTAAGAGAAAATCAAGATTCGTTTTAAATTCATTGATTTTGAGATGTCTAAGTGGAACTGTCACTAGAATTCAAAGGGAAGCCCCTGACTGGAGATATAAATTTGGAGAGTGTTTAGGATGCAGATGGTATTTAAGGTCATGGCTGGAAGAGCATGTTGTAGAAGGAGGTAGAAAGAGAGGATAAGAGGTGTGAGCACTGAGATGTGGTGGGCAAGAGTGTGAGCCACTGAGAAGTGGATTACATGAGGACTGTGGGATTTGGTCCAGTGGAGGTCACTGGTGACCTTGAAAAGAGCAATGGTGATGGAATGGTGGAAAAGGACGCTTACTTGCAGAGAGTTAAGGAGAGGATGGGGGCAGGAAGTTGAGACATAAGTACAGGAAGCTCTTTCAAAGAGTTCTGTTGTAAAGAGGACCAGAGGGCTGGAGAAGTTGCTGGGCAACCTGCGAAGTCCCATGTTTCAAGGACATGTTTCAAGGACAGACTGTATCAGAGCACACGTGTGTGCTGATGAGAATGATCTGCGTAAAGAGGAAGAAGTGATGAGAAAGGAGAGAAAGGATGGGTGATGGTGGCACATGCGTGGTGGTGGCACAAGAGATGGGGGTCCAGAGTTAGAGCAGAGTGGACCTTCGATGGGAGCAGAAGAGGCTCACCTCCCTGTCAGAGAAGAGGAGGCAAACATGGAGGCGGGTACAGGTAGGGTGGTAAATTTGGTGGTGAAAGAGCGAGGGAGTCCTGTGTCGATTGCTTCTGTTCCCCACATGGGACTAGGTGGAGAAAGCCTGGGGGCAGGAGGACATTCAGAGGCCATTGCTTGGAACAGGTGACATCTCTCTTTAGTTCTTTATGCTATTGATTTCTTGTTAACATCTACTTTTTTGAAATTGAATAGATTCTTATAGAAGATTGAAGAGAATGAAGTTCATTCAAAAAGTAATGAAGCAGAACTGTGTTATTAGGTGCCAGGCGAGGAGCTGATTTCTTTAATGGGTTGAATCATTAATGGGGTGGGAGATGGGGGCCTTCTGTGCGGTAAGAGAGGAAACAGATATGAGTGGGAGAAAATTTGAGTTATGTTGGAACCGAAACAATCTCATTAGTTACTCTTAATATCCTTAGACATTCTGTAGGGACAGTTGATATCCTTTAGCAGATGAAGAATGAGAGCCCAGGGCATTTCAGTAACTGCCCATAGCATCCAGCAAATTAGTGATAGATCCAGGAGTTAAGTGGTGTCCTTGAATTTCTAGTTCATCACTTGGTCCCTGGACTGAAGCAAAGTGCTAAATCTTGACTGTAAACCACCTGCAGGATCGGGGACATATCCTCACTCTTTAACGTTCAGGCCCTCACTGCTTCACAATTATTCTTCACAATAATTTCTACAATTAAGATGGGAATTGTTTGGCTACTGGCTCCAGGGGAAATGTGATACTCCAATTAGTTGTTCAGTTCCCAATTTAAGGCCGTCTGTAGAAGAGAGCATCTCATCAGCATACATTTGGTTAATGAGGGTTAATGAGTAAAACATGGAGGCTGACTCCATGATGGCTGTAACTGCTGTGTTTCCTTCTTTTTTTTAATTTTTTTTTTGGATTTATTTATTTGTGATAGAGACAGAGCACAAGTGGGGGAGGGGCAGAGAGAGAAGGAGACAGAATCTGAAGCAGGCTCCAGGCTCCGAGCGGTCAGCACAGAGCCCAACATGGAGCTCGAACTCACCGTGAGATCATGACCTGAGCTGAAGTCGGACGCTTAACTGACTGAGCCACCCAAGCGCCCCCTGTGTTTCCTTCTTTATGCAAGTGCACTTCCAAGATCATAACCGGGCAAATACAGACGCGCGCGCGCGCGCGCAAGCACACACACACACACACACACACACACACACACACACACACTCTACTATAGTAAATATAAACATTGAATGTAAGATGCATTCTGATTTTAGCAATGTTAAAATAGGAGTAGGGAAGGGAGGCAGAAGAGAAAACATGTCTTAAAACTAGAAATTAGGTAGCTCAAGTTTTCATTTGATGTTGTACTGTGGAAACATTAACACTTTGAAGACAAATCTGTATTTTGTTTGAGGTTAGCTTTAAGACAGTTTCACTGGTAGCGACGCCTGGATGGCTCAGTCACTTGAGTGTCTCTTAGTTTCAGCTCAGGTCATGATCCCAGGGTCATGGGATCAAGCCCCCACATAGGGCTCTGTGCTGAGCATGGAGCCTGCTTGAGAGTCTCAATCTCTCTCTCTCTCTCTCTCTCTCTCTCTCTCTCTCTCTCTCTCTCCCTCTGGCCCTGTATCCTGCTCATGCACTCTCTATCTTTCTCTAAAAAAAAAAGTATTTTACTGGCAAACCTGACTCCATGGATTGGTTTTAGGATTAAATGAGATAATGTATGTAAGGCATTGATAGCAGTCTCCAGCACATAGTAAAGGCTCAGTAAATACTCATTGTAAGTAATAATAATTATTGTATTTCTCTTAATATATTTTTCAGTGAGCAATAGAGTTTTTGAAGTATTTGTAATGGTAAAATGTTACTTTTAGTCAGTAACAGCTTTTGCTAGCAATAAGATGAACTGTACCTTTTGGGGTGCCTGGGTGGCTCAGTTGGTTAGGCATCTGACTTTGGCTCAGGTCATGATCTCACGGTTTATGAGTTCAAGCCCGGTGTCAGGCTCTGTACTGACAGCTCAGAGCCTGGAGCCTGCTTTGAAATCAGTATGTCCCTCTCTCTCCCTGTCCCTCCCCTGCTCATGCTCTGTCTGTCTGTCTCTCTCTCTCTCTCAAAAGTATACATTGAACATTTTTCTAAAAAAGAAGAAGTTTACCGTTTAATTAAGTTATTAATATGCAAAAAATGCACAAATGAATTATTGAATGCCTAATTGAGCATGGTACTGGGCTCAGTACTCATCAGAGAGAAGTCTTCTCCCCCACAGATCTGGTCCCTGCCCATTAGCTGTTTATAATCTATGACAGATGCCTTGGAGGTGAAGATGACCACTAATGTTGATTAAGCCTTAATGTATGCCAGAGTCTGTTCTAAGCACTATACATTTATTCCTGCCAGCAGCCCTCTTAGTTAGGGACTCTGGTTATTCCTTTTTCAGAGAGAAGAAACTAAAGGCTGCACATCCAGTTAGTCGATGGTCCAGTGGGATTTGAGCCCACTGCCTGACTCCCTTGGCCACTGTGCTCTATAGCCTGTTTCCAACATGAAGTAAGTACACTGAGGCTGACCCCATTGATT